CTTATTTCTCCATAATGTTTACTCCATAATTGCGTAGCAAAATGTAGGACATTGCTGGACAAATGTAGGGCACGCGGAATTTTGACATTTTGGTTTTAATGCGTCCCATAAAAGTTCCTTCGTCCATCCAAGGATCTCATTCTCAAAATATCCGTGCGGTTGACGGAGTATTTATACAAACACAGCCTCGGGGATCTATTGTCGGGAGCATTAGAGAGAGCAGTCCTTTAATCTGGTGAAAACAATTTCGCGCGAATTGTTATGAGCCTTTATTGCCAATAGGGTTGCTAAAAGTGGAACCAATTTATATTTAGTCAATTTGTTTTGTTTTATACTTTACGTTTCAAAACATTCTTGTTAATCAGTTGAGACTTAACACCGTACAATTATAAATGAGATACATTACAGGTATGTATTTGAAATAAACAAAACAGCTAAGAAATTATCCATAACTTGGAACGCATTAAACATTGTCCATGGAAATAGGTTTTTTAAACTTTTTAGAAATGTACTGATTCAGCCGACTATTGTAAAGAAGATGTGAAACCTTGTCAAAGGAAAACTGCTCGTGAATTCCAGTCTATATTAGCTCTTTTTTGACAATGTGACAACCCTAATACATGAACCATGTTTGTACTTCGCTCAATCGTCTGTTTCATTTGGAGACAGTCTCTTAAGATTAATGTTAAATCTGGGTAAGCGTGATGAGACGGCTTTAGGTGATCTTTTGTATGTTAAGGTCGGGCCAACTCTGTTAAGATTTGAATGTGCGTTTTTAATTTCACCCATTATTCCTCATTTCATTGTTGTTCCTTCTAAAGACTCCAATGTTTATGTTCTTGGATTTGTGCTTTGACATCTTTGTATATGTTTCTTTATACGTTAATATTAATGATACGTATTACCATTTCTGATGTAACTTAATTATATATATCTGTAATCTACGCACCTGTACATTTTCAGTATAAGAGGATATAATATATAACAAGTATTAGGAGTATAGCTTCTTCTGAAAGAGTTCGTCCAGGACGATAGCACCTTATCTATTTCAGGCCACCTTATCTATTTCTGCCGCCAAGCAGTAATGTGCGCATTCCGGTTTTGAAGGGTGCTAGTGAAATTACAGGCACATGGAACTTGTCAATTTTTGTCTCAGGGTGACGGTCGCAGCCGCAGTGCACATCAGGTCTTTCCGATTTAATGTGTGACACTGCAATTGCTATGTACAGGCGTGTTCTTACCACCTGGCGCCCGACTTGTTCGTTCTGTCACTTAATATCATTAAAAAAATAAAAAGGAAGGGGAGAATAGCCAAGAAGTAAGTGGAAAGACAAATTGGAGGAGTTCGATAGGGAACAGGAAGAATACGCCAATAATATGGATGAATGAGGCTTTCAGAGATAGTGACTATTTAAAATACTTTTATATTCACACAAATATGTATATTTAATCAATATGCTCATGATTGTAATTAAAAGTACAGCGAATAATAAATTTTTGAAGAAGCTTTCGCGGTTGCAACTGTTAAATCTAGTGCTGGTTTCTCAATGGTCTTAATAATAAAGGTATTAAAGTGAGTTCATATACATTTATACAGAATTATCGTATTCTGCAAGTTGTATTGCACAGAACACAAATTTCAAAGAAACCACATCGATTTCTAGTCATTAAAAAGTTATTCAATTCGCTAACAATCAAAAAGTTGGCTCGCGATTGCATGTTAGATTGGACCGATTGTACAAATTCAAGGAATTTATTTTTCCAAGTATTTGATGGGTTACGTGGGAATTTCCTGTATTTATAGTTGTACTACTTGAACAAAAGTTTTAAGCCATGTAAAAGTAGTTTATACGCAGACTTGGAAATGACGCTAACATTTATTATTTCATGTAATTATAATTATAAATTATTTTACGTATTATTTTAAAAGTTCGTCCAGGAAAGTACGTAGTAGCAAGTAGTTACCTATTTCTGCCACCAGCAGTAATGCGAGATTGGGACTTGAGAGGACACTAGGGACTTGTCAACTTATGTCGGCGCAATAGCAGTCCGCCTCAGATCTTCGTGATTCTGTGCTGATAGTGGTACTGCAACAGCTATGAACAGGCGTGTCGCTCACCACCAGGCGCACGACTTGTTCGTCCCGTTACTGAGTATTACAAAAAAAAAAATGTAGTTCCAAAATGCAAAATAAGTTTCATTTATCAACTTATCCACGAGTCTTAATAGGGTTATCACATAATGTCTTTCTTTCCCGATAAGTGCGGGTAAATAACATTAGCGGTTACCAATTTAAATCAATTTAAAAAGTAGCGGTACAATGAATTGTTAACAGTTCAACTTCGTAATGAGCGATAAATAAAAACAACTTGACGGCATTTTGCATTCAACAATAGCAACGACCTAGTTTTTAATGGCTCGCATGTTATAACTTGGTACGTGACTTGGAAACTGTTTTTATGCAGTGCCCGTTGGAAGGTACACAATTTCGGTGTTCTGTAATTTCTTTTGTGGATCATGGACCACATTATAGACGATAGATGCATCGTTATAAATTTCAAAATTCGAAAAACGGCTAGCTTCGAATTTTTGTTATTCCATGTTTTGGCGGATCAAATTCGTGGCGGCTATTATACGTTAATTAATTATGATTATTATTTCAATAATAATTTTATTATGAAAAACCTAATAACAGAATTGCTACTTAAGTAAATAAAATGGAAAAAGATAAGCTTTAGCTTAAATACAAAATTATTGACCATTGAGTTCTAATACTACTGGCCTGGATGTTCTGAAACGTGTCACAGAGTGTTGTTTGGCACATCATATATTATTAAATACTAGAAAAAATATGTATTATATCAGTCACCTTTCGTGCTAGTCTCAAGTATTGTAAATTATTTTGACTCGAGTCCTATTTTAGAAGGCAATAGTATTTTAAATATATTATTACATGTATTCGGTATTAAACACGACCTAAACCTTTTTGTTCGAAGTAAATAATAATGCGACTTTTTAACCGACTTAAAAAACGAAGGGGTTTTCAATTCGACTTTTTTTAGTAAATGTTACACGATAATTTGAGAACCGATTATGATGATTTTTTTTTGTTGGAATGAGGTTACCTCAGTATCAGTCCCATTTAAATTCGAAGAAAATATTCCATCTCTAAGGGTGGCAAACTATAGGATGAATCCGGTTTCGAGCACTTTCCGTTAACCGATTTTTTAAATTTGTGTTCAAAGTACAAAAAGTCCTAATCTTTTACGTAAGCACTGACAGCATATTCACATTGGTTTAATTTAAATACATGAAGGTTATGGGTAGGCGTGTCGCAGACATAAAAAAATACATAGTTTATTTTAACTTTACTCTTGTTATTCGCAAACGCAATAAACATAAAATGTTTATTTTTCACCCAACCACTCCAATTTGAGCTTTCTCTTTCTTTATATTCAAATGAAAAACCTTCTGAAGGCAATAAAGGTAGAAGTCGTAAAAGTGCTTATTAAAACTGGCGATGTAAGTTATTCCAGGCACGCGTTACTATTTGTTCATTTAGAGTACTACGTTCATTTGTGTACAGTTTAGTGCTATTTGTTGTATTAATTGAGCATGTATTTGGAATTAGTTTAGTTTCATTAATGACGCTGACGACATAGTGCTTTTATGCCCGCTAATCGGTGCTCCATGCGAGTTGCTATACGTTTGTAAACCTAAGTGCGAGCAAGTTTTTCAGCTTAGTAGTAGTAGAGCCCTTGTAAAAGAGTTCGTCCGGTAGGGCTAGCACGATAAGTTGCGACTTGCGCGAGAGAGACATGAAGCGTGAAATCTCTATGCGAGACTAGCAGTATCCCGCGCTTTATGTCGCTCTCGCGCTAGTTGCGCCCTATCGTGCAAGCCCTGCAGGTAAGTACTGCCAACATACCTATTTCTGCCGCCAAGCAGTAATGTGAGCATTACTGCCTTCCGGTTTTGAAGGATAACTGTGCTGGTGAAATTACAGGCACGTGAGACTTGCCAACTTATGTCTCAGGGTGACGGGCGCAGTGACAGTGTCCCTTATCTTTGCGATTTAATTCCAGTATTCTTACACGTACAGCCTGTGGGTCAATTGCAGCGGATATGCGGAGCACACACGTCTAGCACAACAATTTCTTCAGGATGTAGTACCAACTTCCACCTTTTTACAGCACTTCAACTGTGCTGACGATTTCAAGAAACGAAATATAGCGAAACGCAACGTTTCTACGTCTCACGTGTCACAGCGCGAACAGCATGCTGGCACAGCTGAGTATGTTGGTAGATAGATGTTAATTTCCAATGCTGGGAGCGACGGCTACCTTTGCACACTTCTAATACTTCACACTCTGACATAGTTTCATTAAACGTAATGGCTAAAATTGCTTTTAACAATAAAAACATTCCTAAAAGGGCCAAAAGGGAATATTGCATTGTATTATGGTGAGATATAGACAATGACACAAAGAGACCGAAAACGATTGGAAAACATTTGTGATGTGGCGTTGGAGATGAATGAAGCTAATTAGTGGATCAAAAAGAAAAACCAACGCGGAGGTGTTAAGAAAAGTTCTGAAAAAGACAAGCTTATTAAAGACAATAGAAAACCGAATAGGAAAGATGTTTTAGGCATCTGGTACGAAAGAAAGAGGAAGGAGAAGGTGGATAAAGCTTATAGAAAGAAAGGCAGAAGAAAATCGAGACGAGGTTATTTAGATCAGATAAGGGAAGTTAATGTCGTATCGAATCAGGAAATCAAAATTAGGCGCTGAACAGACATAGTTGGCGATTATTCGGTAGATATTAGTATGCATGTAGTTAAGTGTTAGTACACTAAATTAAGTACTTTGTGACTAACAAATGTTATTGATTGTAAGTGTCGGAAGTAAATGGTTACTATTATTAATTTCATAATTTCATGTGTATTTAATAGTATTAATTTGAGTCATATCACGTAACCTTATAGTACAAAATCATACCAATAAAATTCTTGACGGTACGGAACGGTTCGGTACGGTTTGGTTCACAAATATTTTTCGTGCGTGTTTGTTACATAAAATCGCGATATTATTAAGTTTATCAATTTGCTTGCATTTTATTTGGTATTAAAATTTAAATTTTGAAGTTTATCGCTTCCATAACGTCCAAGACAGAGTTTTCAACTGAATAAAACGTCTGTGAAAAAAGCACTTGAATCTCATTCGCTAAAACAGAAAAAAATCCAATAAACAAAACATGATCGCTTTTACTAAAAAAAGAACTTCAGTGAAGATGTAAGAACATAAAGAAGTGACTCTGTCGGAGCAATATGATATAATAAATCGATCCACATATTTTATTTGATTTTCCTTTTAACTTTTTTCTAGGTCAAAGCCGTGAGTAGTTCGCGTAGTTTGTTTGCGTCGAGATTCGTTCATGTTATTACGGAAAGTTATGATTGGACGTAATCATTTCCTTAAGTGTTTGATTAGGGGAAAACGAGAGTTTTTTTTGTTATTTGTTATGTTACGGATGCGATATTGTGACTGGTTATTAGTGTTATTTTTCAGAACATTGTGTTATATGGAAAGCAGTGGCGTTTTCTTTTTTTTATGTCGTGGGCCTAGTGCAGTGCTACTCAGAGCTTTAAATCACAAATATTTGAGGGACACTGATACTGCGCCCCTCACCCTGAGCTATAAGTTAACAAGTTTCATGTGTTTTAGTTATACCAGCACCCTAACCCTTCAAAACCGAAACGCAGTAACTGACATTACTGCTTGGCGCCAAAAATAGTTGACGTGGCAGTACTTCCCTGGATGAACTCTTTCTCAAGAAGCTCTACTACCACTAAACGTATTAGAGGCAAAATTAGCGTCTTTGCCAATGGTGAAGATATACTGACGTAAAATTCTGGATAGTGGTTTTTATAACAAAGACTAACACTGCAGCCCTACTATTAAGGTTACGAAAAGATCCCAATAAGGTGAAGGGGTAATTTTCGTCAATTGTGTGTGACAAGGAATATTTGTAGTATGTGGAAAAGTTTGTACCTAAAATTGGTATACTATGGTAGAGCTATATTATCTAATATTATTGTTCACTGGTTACCTTAATAAATAGTTTGTCGAGCTTCTACTGCAAAGATTATAATATGTACCTACACCATAATACTAATAAACACCCGCTGTTCTTCACAGTCGTTTTTACAAAGTCACAAATTCTTTTAAGAGGCCATACTTATATATGTTTCTATATTTAGGTTATAGTTGATATTCAGAATTTGCCATGCACGAGGTTTAAAACTATAGGGAAACAAAAACGTCATACTAAAAGTTTGACATTATGTTTGTACAGCTTGTGCCTACTTTGACGACAAACCTCCGTGGTAGTGACCCGTTTAGCTCTTGCATGTTATTGTAATATAAAAAATCAATGTGTACAGTGTCCACTAATTTTTCTTTAGGGAATCTGCCTTACAAATGAGCAGTATAGTTTAATTGATATGACGATTTCAAGTGATAAATCGTATCAGGGGTTTACTCTCGATCTCCGTCCGTCATCCGTCCGAAACAATTACTGCCAAATAAGCAATATTTGACCAAATGAAAAGACGCGTGATGCGAATGAAGCTTCATACTTGATACTTGTCTTTTAATTTTGTCGAATATTACTTATTTGACAGTAATTGTTTCGGACGGATGTCGGACGGAGATCGAGAGTAGACCCAGTGTAGAAACCAGTTCCGAATCCGAGAAATGATGATCCGAAATGTGTCCGAAGTGTCATTTTATCTCTAGGTGTACAAGCGATATTCGTATTTACTCGGGTTCATATTGGACTTACTGCATAAGCGATATCCGAAGTGGGTTCGAATTTTCGAGGTTTCGGATTCGGAACGAATACGAATTGGATGCAGTGTGCTAATGCGCTAAAAGGAATTATTGCTAAAACTTTTGTCAGCTTTAATATCAACAATGTCTTTGAAAGAAGACCTGTCATCTTTAGAACTGTCAGTCCTTCATCATAACGGCTCTATAAATAGTTTGAGAATTCTTCTACGATGTTTGTGCACGTGTTTGAAATAATGTCAATGCGGTATCAAAGTGCAAATGAAAAACAATTCACAAAATAAATATCAAACTTTAATCGTTCGTGTATTAGCCATACGTTATGTAGCCACTATTTCTTCTACGTAGATTCTGACACACACTTATCACCTTATCAACACGCATCAGTTTTCACACGTGCTCGTCGGTTAAGGGTACACTCGGTCTGGCCTTTCTTCAGGACGTCTTCAATTTGGTCTTGGTAAGTTCGCTTTGGTTGGCCCTTGCTAATTTGCTCGCTCACTCTTGCCTTACGTTTCGTCAATATTCTTTCATTCATTCTCTCTGTATATCCTAACTATCTAACCGTACTTTTCTCTACCTTATAAAAATGTCGGATACGGCAGTTTGAGAGGGGAGATGTGTTAGAGATATAAAGAGACCTAGTCATTACTATTGTAGGCGTTCATTCAGGATCTGTGCACTATAATGCTTGCCATCGTGATGAAAGGATTTGCCAATAAGCGTAGGATAAGTACTCGGCCATTGTCGCCGAGAGAGCTCCAGATGTACACGAAAGGAATGGTACGTCGTGTGGGGCGGGCTCCTTTCGTGCAATCTTTACATTAATTACTGCGGCCAAAACTAATTACAATTCCGACCAAGGCCAACAGTGTTAAAGAACCGAGGTATTTTCCCGGCTTCTTGTTTTGATGATCTCTGGTTATGGAGTTTCGAGCGCCCGTAGTATTATGTAAGTAGGTGCAGAGGAGTTCCTTCGTGACAGAATATACCTTCTATATATATTCCATTATATATATATATATATGTGTATATATATACATATATATATATATATATATATATTCAGAATATACTCTCAGCTTAAGATTGAACATGTGTTTAGTAGTCACAGTGTCCTCCTTGAGCTCCAGATATTTGACCTAGGTGTATTGCCTCAGGATAATAAAGGACTTCGTTCACAGAAAAGCTATACTCCAATTTTTAAATTTTAATTCGCCCATTGTTAAGTTAAAGTGCGCTCCCATGCAGGTATCTGAAGATGATCTGTCTATGTAGTTCATTGTTAAATTTGAAAGGCTGGGCCCAAATATTGTCACAATGGACTTGGAGCCTGCGGGACAAAGAGGTACGTATAATTAATGACCAAGACCACGAATTGTCGCGTCTTCGAATTATGCTGCGATAGGGAATGGCATGGAGATGCTATGGAATTAATTTATTTTACACCATGACATCATATTGGCGACTTCGGTGACCTAGCGGTTAGCTCAATGGCCGCTTAATGAAGAATAGCTGGTCTCAACCTAGGGAATTCTCTATGCGATGAGTACCAGAGCAACGAAATTGACTCCGGGGTGCTATACAAGACATTCACACCAGATTCCAAAAATCGAATTCGAAATCTCCTCATTTAATGACCATAGTGCATAACAGATGTAGGTAAGAAATTGACAACGTTTCGACTTCACACCTTCCACAAGTCCTTGCCTTCCCACTACGAACGCTTAATATCGTTAGATTAAGATAAAACTAAAACAATAATCCTTTTCATTTCGTCTACGATCCTTTATTTCAAACCACTATGAATGGCATAGACAATATCTTCATATCTCTTGAGAAAAAATCCGTGTGGGACGCGCTTTATGGCCGTCTTTATGTCTTTTGTACTATGTACCGCATTAAGAATAAAAGCCGATGTGAGATATAGCTCAAGTCGTCTAGGCCCATTATCTATCTAAGCGGAGCGCAGAAGAACTCGGTATGAGCAACCAATAGTATTTAGTTTATTTTGACGTCTCACCACTAAGCGACTGAATGCCATTGGGTACTGAAATTCGACTATTCTCCACTCCGTTTTAGCAGACAATGGGCTTCACTCTGATTTGAACAAGAATGTGCCGAGCTCACGATGATTTACTACCAACATTGGAATTTAGAGTCTCACTTCTGTTTCATATAGTAATCTATAAAGAGAGTAGCAATTTCTTCTATCACTTCAATTCGTTTCCTCATTATTGTCCTTTAATTTATATCTACGTGAACACTTTATGATATTTTGTATATTGTTGTCGTTACGTTCACATGGCGTTACATTTTTCAGTTGACAAGCAATCGTACAAATACTGTATTGACACCAGATTTATAAGTACTGCAAATTCTTTTCCATTGGTGTAGGCAGAACTTCCACTTAACCTGGTCTTTCTTTAGTACTGCCTCTTATACAAGGTTTCAGACTGACACAATATTTAGAAGTGGTTGGAATACTGATGTACACACTAATAAAAGCGTCTTAATATTAAAAACAGTTGTATTTTTACGCGTTGTTTCCATCAGATTTATCCCCGGCCATACACAAACCATTAAATGCCATGCCGTGTTAGCTATTTAATGTGCCCTACATCAGCGAACGTGGGCGCGTTAAGGCTCTCCCACACAAGTGCGAAATACCGGTCGGAGTTTCCGCTAGTTTTAGCGACATCAATTAGCTTAGTGTGATTTATTTATTTCATACAATAATCACATTAAACAATTCACAAAAGACAAACGTTAATTCGTTCACCACCACACAGCCTCCGGTCTACTCCCAGAAACAAAGTAGTTTGGTACAGAAACGAAAAATACATTATGACACCATACTGTGAAACATAGTGAGCACTACACCGGCAGTATGTTACCGCAAATGATCTAAAACATATCTGCGAAACCGATCTGTGTTACACATCGCGCAATTAGAATCCATTGTGCGTCCTACGGTAATGGGATAGTGTATTTATTTCTAGTATTTATTTATTTTTGTACGCCATCATCAAACTCCGAAAACGCAGTATAGCGTATATGTAGTACGAGCACATTACTCATCTACCTAATAAGGAAAGCCTTTAATTTATTATAACACAATTGGAACTGCGGTGTTGGAAATTCGCACCTCTTTGGGTCAGCGGCAGCAGGAGTATT